TCTCACCTGTCCCAGGTGTCTCACCTGGAATTTGTTGCTGGAGTTGAACGGCAGCTCCGCCACCTTCGGGTAGCGCCCCCTGGCGGCCGCCACCGACCCTGACGTCACTTCCGCGAATTTCAGCAGCGCCGACTCCGAGGCGTCACCGATGACGTCACGCTGGGGGGGGAGGGGCGGGGCCGCCGTGAGGACACGCCCACCTCCCCTCCCAGTCCCTCCCAGTAAGGAAAACCCCAAACCAGTATAAACCAGTACAAACCAGTCCAAACCAGTATAACCCAATCCAAACCAGTGTAAACCAGTATAAACCAGTATAACCAGTACAAACCAGTGACCCCAACCCCCACACCAGTATAAACCAGTATAAACCAGTATAAACCAGTCCAAACCAGTATAACCCAATCCAAACCAGTGTAAACCAGTATAAACCAGTATAACCAGTACAAACCAGTGACCCCAACCCCCAAACCAGTATAACCCAGTATAAACCAGTATAAACCAGTAACCCCAAATCCCCCTTTAATCCCTTCACCAGTCCCTCCCAGTAACGCCCAGGTGTGTTATAACTGCTCCCAGGTGTGCACAGGTGCCCCCAGGTGTGCACAGGTGAGCCAGGTGTGCCCAGGTGTGCCCAGGTGTGTTCAGGTGTGCCCAGGTGTGCCCAGGTGTGCACAGGTGTGCCCAGGTGTGTTATAACTGCTCCCAGGTGTGCACAGGTGCCCCCAGGTGTGCACAGGTGAGCCAGGTGTGCCCAGGTGTGCCCAGGTGTGTTCAGGTGTGCCCAGGTGTGCCCAGGTGTGCACAGGTGTGCCCAGGTGTGTTATAACTGCTCCCAGGTGTGCACAGGTGCCCCCAGGTGTGCACAGGTGAGCCAGGTGTGCCCAGGTGTGCCCAGGTGTGTTCAGGTGTGCCCAGGTGTGCCCAGGTGTGCACAGGTGTGCCCAGGTGTGTTATAACTGCTCCCAGGTGTGCACAGGTGCCCCCAGGTGTGCACAGGTGAGCCAGGTGTGCCCAGGTGTGCCCAGGTGTGTTCAGGTGTGCCCAGGTGTGCCCAGGTGTGCACAGGTGTGCCCAGGTGTGTTATAACTGCCCCAGGTCTGCCCAGGTGTCCCCAAACCCCCCCAAAATCCCCATTTTTCACCCGATTTTCACCCAGTTTTTTTCCTTTGTCCCCTCCCAGGTGTCCCCCAGGTGTGCCCAGGTGCCCCCAGGTGTGCCCAGGTGTGTCTCCACCCCTCTCAGGTGTGCCCATCTCACCCGACTGGTCCTCGGTGGTGTCGGCGGCGTGCACCTGCCCGTCGAACCACAGGTGCGCCACGGCCATGCGGTTCTGGGTCAGCGTGCCCGTCTTGTCGGAGCAGATGACCGAGGTGGAGCCCAGCGTCTCCACGGCCTCCAGGTTCTTCACCACGCAGTTCCGGCGCGCCAGGCGCTTGGCCGTCAGCGACAGGCACACCTGGGCAGGTGAGACGGCGCCCGGGCGGGCGAGGGGCTCTCACCTGCGCCGCCTGCAGCCGCGAGGGCCTCAGAACCTCCGGAATTCCAGGTGGGGCCCGTAAAAACCTCAAGGCCTGCACGGGTTCCAACCCGCCAGGTGTGCCCGGGTGTGCCCAGGTGTGCCCGGGTGTGCCCAGGTGTGCCCAGGTGTGCCCAGGTGTCCCCGGGTGTCCCCAGGTGTGCCCGGGTGTCTCCCAGACCTCTCACCTTGTGGTGGGAGCCTTAAGGGCCTCAAAACCTCCAGAATTTTTGGTGGAACCCATAAAAACCTCAACACCTCCCCACCTTCCAACCCCCCCAGGTGTCCTCACCTGTCCCCAGGTGTTCCCAGGTATCTCCAGGTGTCCTCACCTGTCTCTCAGACCTCCCACCTTGTGGTGGGACCCATGAGGACCCCAAGACCTCCATGAAGACCCCTCAGACCCCCAGAATTTTTGGTAGAACCCATAAAAACCTCAACACCTCCCCACCTTCCAACGCCCCCAGGTGTGCCCAGGTGTGCCCCCAGGTGTGCCCAGGTATCCCCAGGTGTCCTCACCTGTCTCTCAGACCTCCCACCTTGTGGTGGGACCCATGAGGACCTCAAGGCCCCTCAGACCCCCAGAACTTCTGGTGGAACCCATGAAAACCTCAACACCTCCCCACCTTCCAACGCCCCCAGGTGTGCCCAGGTATCCCCAGGTGTCCTCACCTGTCTCCTTGACCTCTCATATTGTGCTGGGACCCATGAGGACCTCAAGGCCCCTCAGACCCCCAGAACTTCTGGTGGAACCCATAAAAACCTCAACACCTCCCCACCTTCCAACCCCCCCAGGTGTCCTCACCTGTCCCCAGGTGTTCCCAGGTATCTCCAGGTGTCCTCACCTGTCTCTCAGACCTCCCACCTTGTGGTGGGACCCATGAGGACCCCAAGACCTCAATGAAGACCCCTCAGACCCCCAGAATTTTTGGTAGAACTCATAGAAACCTCAAATCTTCCTCACTGCCCTCACCAACTCCAATCCCCCCAGGTGTGCCCAGGTGTGCCCAGGTGTGCCCAGGTGCCACCTGGCCATACCGTGACGGTGGCCAGCAGCCCCTCGGGCACGTCGGCCACCACGATGGCCATGAAGGACCCCCCAAACCCCCCCCGACCTTCGGTAGAACCCATCAAAACCTCAACACCTCCCCACCTTCCAACGCCCCCAGGTGTGCCCAGGTGTGCCCAGGTGTGCCCAGGTGTCCTCACCTGTCTCTCAGACCCTCCACATTGTGGTGGGACCCATAAGGACCCCAAGACCCCCAGAACTTCTGGTGGAACCCATCAAAACCTCAACGCCTCCCCCACTTTCAACGCCCCCAGGTGTGCCCAGGTGTCCTCACCTGTCTCTCAGACCCTCCACATTGTGGTGGGACCCATAAGGACCCCAAGACCCCCAGAACTTCTGGTGGAACCCATCAAAACCTCAACGCCTCCCCCACTTTCAACGCCCCCAGGTGTGCCCAGGTGTGCCCAGGTGCCACCTGCCCGTACCGTGACGGTGGCCAGCAGCCCCTCGGGCACGTAGGCCACCACGATGGCCATGAAGAAGACGAGGGCGCGCAGGAAGGGGTATCCGATCAGCATGGCCACCACGAAGAAGGTGCCGCCGAAGAAGACGGCCAGGCCGGCGATGATGTCCACGAAGTGCTCGATCTCCACCGCGATCGGCGTCTTCTCGTTCTCCACGCCCGAGGCCAGGCTGGCGATGCGCCCGATCACCGTGCGGTCACCTGTGCTGATCACCAGCCCCGTGGCCGTACCTGTGCGGACAGGTGAGGGTTCAGGTGTGCCCAGGTGTGTCTAAGTGTGACCCAGGTGTGCCCAGGTGTGCCCAGGTGTGTCTAAGTGTGACCCAGGTGTGCCCAGGTGTATCTAAGTGTGACCCAGGTACGACCCAGGTGTGACCAAGGTGTGTCCCAGTGGAGCCCAGACACCCTTAGATGTGCCCAGGTGTGACCCAGGTGTCCCCAGGTGCCTCCAGGTGCCCCAGGTGCCCCCAGATGTGCCCAGGTGCGCCCAGGTGCCCCCAGGTGTGCCCCCAGGTGCCCCCAGGTGCCCCCAGGTGCGCTCACCTTCCAGGCACATGGTGGAGAAGAAGGCGATGTTCCGGGTCTCCAGGTGCGACTCGTGCGTGCACTCAGGTGAGCGCGGCTGCGGCTCCGACTCCCCGGTCAGCGAGGAATTGTCCACCTGGGCACGGCCCCGCCCCCGCCTCAGCCTCCAGGTGCCCCCAGGTGTGCCCAGGTGCGTTCCCAAGTGTGCCCAGGTGCGTTCCCAGGTGTGCCCAGGTGCCCCCAGGTGTGCCCAGGTGCGTTCCCAAGTGTGCCCAGGTGCGTTCCCAGGTGTGCCCAGGTGCCCCCAGGTGTGCCCAGGTGCGTTCCCAAGTGTGCCCAGGTGCGTTCCCAGGTGTGCCCAGGTGCCCCCAGGTGCTCCCGGGTGTGCCCAGGTGTGCCCAGGTGTGTTATATCTGCCCCCAGCTGCCCCCAAGTGTGCTCCCAGCTGCCCCCAGGTGTGTCCAGCTGCCCCCAGGTGCCCCCAGGTGTGCCCAGGTGCGTTCCCAAGGTGTGACTCAGGTGTGACCCAGATGTGACTCAGATGCGACCCAGGTGTGTCTAAGTGTGACCCAGGTGTCTCTCAGGTGACCAGGTGTGACCCAGGTGTGTCCAGGTGGGATCAAGATCCCCAGGTGCCCCCAGCTGTGCCCCCAGGTGTGCCCAGGTGTGCCCCCAGGTGTCCCCAGGTGCGCCAGGTGTGTCCAGGTGGGATCAAGATCCCCAGGTGTGCCCAGCTATCCCCAGGTGTGCCCCCAGGTGCCCCCAGGTGCCCCCAGGTGCGCTCACCTTCCAGGCACATGGTGGAGAAGAAGGCGATGTTCCGGGTCTCCAGGTGCGACTCGTGCGTGCACTCAGGTGAGCGCGGCTGCGGCTCCGACTCCCCGGTCAGCGAGGAATTGTCCACCTGGGCACGGCCCCGCCCCCGCCTCAGCCTCCAGGTGTGCCCAGGTGTGCCAGGTACCCTCAGGTGCCCCCAGGTGTGCCCAGGTGCATTCCCAGCTGCCCCTAGGAGCATTCCCAGGTGCCCCAGGTGTGTTATATCTGCCCCCAGCTGCCCCCAGGTGTGCCCTGGAGTGCCCAGGTGTGTTATATCTGCCCCCAAGTGCCCCCACCAGGTGTGTCCCAGGTCCCCCCAGGTGCGTTTCCAGGTGCCCCCAGGTGTGCCCAGGTGCCCCCAGGTGCGCCCAGGTGCGCCCAGGTGCCCCCAGGTGCGCCCACCTTGCAGCCCTGCGCCGCCAGCACGCGGATGTCGGCCGGCACGCGGTCGCCGCCCTTGATCTCCACCAGGTCCCCGACCACGAGCTCGGCCGCGTTCACCTGCAGCACCTGCCCCGCTCGCACCACCGTGGCTTGCTGCGGGACAGGTGAGGCGCGCGCATGCAAATGAGGGACCCAGGTATGCAAATGAGGGCCCCCAGGTGAGAGAATGAGGCATTATGTATGCAAATGAGGGACCCAGGTATGCAGATGAGGCTCCCCAGGTGAGAGAATGAGGTCTCAGGTATGCAAATGAGGCTCCCCAGGTGTGTAAGTGGGACCCCAGGTATGCAAATGAGGCCCCCAGGCGAGAGAATGAGGCGTTATTTATGCAAATGAGGCTCCCCAGGTGAGATAATAAGGTCTCAGGTATGCAAATGAGGCTCCCCAGGTGTGTAAGTGGGACCCCAGGTATGCAAATGAGGGCCCCCAGGTGAGGGAATGAGACCTCAGGTATGCAAATGAGGTTCCCCAGGTGTGTAAATGAGGCTCCCCAGGTGGGCAGGTGAGACCCCAGGTGCACAGGCGAGGCCCCAGGCATGCAAATGAGGCATTATGTATGCAAATTAGGCCCCAGGTATGCAAAGGAGGCCTCGGGTATGCAAATGAGGCTCCCCAGGTGTGCAGGTGAGATTCCAGGTATGCAAATGAGGGCCCCCAGGTGAGGGAATGAGGCCCCAGGTATGCAAATGAGGCCTCAGGTATGCAAATGAGGCCCCAGGTGTGCAGGTGAGGCCCCTCAGGTGTGAATGCAGCCCCAGGTGCATGCCCAGGTGTGTACCCACGTGTGTGCCCAGGTGTGCCCCTGCCCAGGTGTGTGCCCAGGCCCGTGCCCAGGTGTGCCCCTGCCCAGGTGTGTTCACCTGCGGGACCAGCTGTGTGCCCAGCTGTGTGCCCAGGTACCTGCCCAGGTGTGTGCACCTGCCCAGGTGTGCCCCTGTCCAGGTGCGCTCACCTGCAGGACCACGTTTGTGCCCAGGTTTATACCGAGGTGTGTGCCCAGGTGTGTGCCCAGGTGCGCTCACCTCGGGACCAGGTGCATGCCCAGGTGTGTGCCCCTGCCCAGGTGCGTGCCCAGCTGTGTGCCCAGGTGTGTGCCCCTGCCCAGGTGCGTGTCCAGCTGTGTGCCCAGGTGTGTGCCCAGCTGTGTGCCCAGTCCCATGCCCAGGTGTGTGCCCAGGTGCGCTCACCTGCGGGACCAGGCTGCGGAAGCTGGCGATGATGTTGGTGCTCTTGAACTCCTGGTAGTAGCCGAAGCAGCCGGTGACCACCACGACGGCGATGAGCGCCACGGCCAGGTACAGCTGCCAGGTGAGGCCGGGTGAGAGCCAGAACTGACACCAGGTGTGCCCAGGTGTGCCCAGGTGACCCCAAACCCCCCAAAATCCCCAAATTTCACCCAAATTTCACCCACTTTTTTCCCTTTTCCCCCTCCCAGGTGTGCCCAGGTGTGCCCAGGTGACCCCAAACCCCCCAAAATCCCCAAATTTCACCCAAATTTCACCCACTTTTTTCCCTTTTCCCCCTCCCAGGTGTGCCCAGGTGTGCCCAGGTGCCCCCAGGTTTGCCCAGGTGTGCCCAGGTGTATCTCAGGTGCACCCAGGTGTGCCCAGGTGACCCCAAACCCCCCAAAATCCCCATTTTTTACCCAAATTTCACCATTTTTTTATCCTTTTTCCCCTCCCAGCTGTGCCCAGGTGCCCCCAGGTGCCCCCAGGTGACCCAAAACCCCCCAAAATCCCCAAATTTCACCCAGTTTTTTTCCTTTTTCCCCTCCCAGCTGTGCCCAGCTGTGCCCAGCTGTGCCCAGGTGTACTCACGGCCCGCAGCTCAACCTCCTCCCCTGCCTCTGGCACTCCCAAATCCACCTGGCCCCCACCACGACCCCTCCCCTCTGCCGCGCCCGCGCCGCCTTCGGCGTCCTGGCGAACGCGCACCTGAAAAAAAAAACCAAAAACCCCCCAAAAAATGGGCGTGGCCAACCCCTCGGAGGGGGCGTGGCCTCTCGGGGCCAGGGGGAGGGGTCACCTACACCAGGTGGGTGCACTCAGGTGTCCAGTCGGGCCGGTACTCCGCTCACGTTGTCCGAGCTGCCCCGGTCGCCCTCTCCCTCCTGCACGCCGTAGGCGATCAGGCAGATGGCCGCGGCCACCCACATGAGGCACTGCAGCCCTCCGGCCAGCTGCCGGCCGAAGCGGACGCAGCCCGGCGTGCCCCGCGGCGGCCGCAGCGCGTTGGGGCCGTCCCGCAGGAGCCGCTCGGCCGCCGCCGCCTCGGACAGGCCCTGGGGGACAGAGTGGTCACTCAGGGGTCACTCAGGGGTCACTCAGGGGTCAGTGGGGTCAATGGGGTCAGTCAATGGTCAGTGAGTGCGTTGGGGCCGTCCCGCAGGAGCCGCTCGGCCGCCGCTGCTTCGGACAGGCCCTGGGGGACAGGGAGGGGTCACTCAGTGGTCAGTCAGTGATCAGCGGTCACTCAGGGGTCACTCAGTGGTCAGTGGTGTCAATGGGGTCAGTCAGGGGTCACTCAGTGGTCAGTGGGGTCAATGGGACCAGTCAATGGTCAGTCAGTGGTCAGTGAGGGCGTTGGGGCCGTCCTGCAGGAGCCACTCGGCCGCCGGCGCCTCCGACAGGCCCTGGGGGACAGGGAGGGGTCACTCAGGGGTCAGGGGTCACTCAGCGGTCACTCAGTGGTCACTGGGGTCAATGGGATCAGTCAGTGGTCAGTCAGTGGTCAGTGAGGGAGTTGGGGCCGTCCCGCAGGAGCTGCTCAACCGCGGCTGCTTCGGACAGGCCCTGGGGGTCCCTCTCTCCCCTCATTCCTCCCTCCTCCATCTCTCCTTGAGCCTCCTCCATCCCCCCTCCTCCATCTCTCTCCTCCCTCCCTCCATCTCCCCTCTCTCCTCCACCTCTCCCTTCATTCCTCCCTCCTCCATCTCCCCTGATCCTCCCCTCCCTCTCCTTCCACCCTTCCTCCATCTCTCCATGCCTCCCTGCCTCCTCCCGCCCCTCTCTCCCCTCTTTCCTCCCTCCTTCCATCTCCCCTCCCTCCTTCTTTCTGTCCCTCTCCCTCCTCGCGCCTCCCCCGTCTCTCCACGTCTCCCTCCCATCCCTCTCTCCCTTCATTCCTCCCACCCCCCCTTCAATCCTCCATCTCTCTTCTTCCTCCCTCTCTTTCCATCCCCCCTCAATCCTCCTCCCTCTCCCTCTCCTTCCACCCTTCCTCCATCTCTTTCCACCCCTCCCCCTTCATTCCTCCCCTCCCTCTCTCCCCTGCCCCCTCCATCTTTCCTCTTTCCTCCATCTCTCCATGTCTCCCTCCTCCTGTCCCTCTCTCCTCTCA